TAGTACCGTGGATTAACTATTGGGATGCTAACTTCAAGGTCAGTGGTTCAAAACCCACCAGGTTCTCTGTGGGAGAAAAATGAGGTTGTTCGCTCCTGTGAAGTTTTACAGTCTGTTGTTGTCGTTATTAGGTGCCATCAAGTCAGTTCTGACAACAATGAAGCATATTAATCATAAAGTAATGAGGTACATTTCTGTGCCACCCTTGCGATGTTTCAGATGTGTGAGCCCCTTGTTGTAGCCAGTCAGTCCATCTCATTTGAGGGCCTTTCTCTCATTTTCTGCCCCTCCACTTTATCTAGCACGATGTCCTTCTCTCGGACAGATCTTTCCTGACAACGTGCCCAACGTTTTTGAAATGAAGTCTTGCCTGTGAGGAGCCTACTGGCTGTGCTTCCTCCAAGACCGATTTGTTTCTCCTTTTATGCACATGAGGCGATTGAAAATACTGTGGCTTGGGTCAGGAACCCCGGGTGCTTAAAGCCTGGGAAACCTTCTATTGGGTCCTTATATTCTAGTCCTCACAGTCTAGTAAACCTTGAATATGGTTGCTGTGAGCTGGAATTGGCTCTTTGCAGTAAGTTTGTTTATTTGTTTGGTTTTAAGTGTTAAAAATCATCAAAATTCGAATGGTGGAAACATAAGGCTCATTGTGACAGTTATTCTATAGGTTGAGTGACCATTATGGTTCTAAAACTTTTTTTCAATGCTTGAAATAGACTAGTTACAACCAGGTTTCTTTTATACAGAGGGGAAGAGAAAGATCAACTGTGGGCCTATGTTAACATAATTGATTGAACCCTACACTCGCTTTTATTGAGATAAAATAATTTCTGATTACTTGGTGGTATCTGACCTTGTAGTCCCAAAATTGGCCCTTTGAAATTTAAAATAAGTAAGGCCAGACTCTTTCTTTCAGTCACGATGGCCAAATTCCATCACTGCACACACCTAACCACTGAGAGCGAGAGCCCAGCTCAAGTGAAGCACGTTAACCATCACCGCCAGCAGTTTTCTTGCCTTATCATCATGACGTTCGTTACTGACTTACATACAGCATTAATGTACAAAACAGTACGAGAGTAGAGGTTTTACTGTTGTTGTAAATGTGAAATATCAGATAATGCAGTTGGTAAATAAAGAAAAGAGTGCATTCTAATTTAATCCTTAGAATTGGAGTCAATTCTCACAATATAGAATTTTAATTAAAAAAACCTTTTTTATTGTAATGAAACATTTTATTGTACTTGGGGTGTGGGGAATGTGTTATTTAGTATCAGACAGTTGGATTCAGACACTGATTATTGTAAGTTGGCTGTTTGACAGTACCTAATAGAAACTGTGCTAAACCATCAGTTTCTCTTCCCG